CATCCCAGTCTGCCTGGTTTGGGGTGGGGGCCACGGGAGAACAGGGTGGGAGGATGGTGCAGTGCCTGTGCCGAGTGCTGTCCCCTCTCCAGAACGGGCTGATGGTCGCCTGCGCCAAGGGCTTCGTGGACATCGTGCCACTGCTGAGGAAGTGCCCCTACATCAACGTCAACCAGCAGGACAACGACGGCAACACGGCCCTCATGATGGCAGCCCAGGCAGGTCAGCCCTCGGCATGGGCAGCCCCTGGGAAGGGGCTTGTGCTTCCCCCCAAAAACCCTGGAACGATCCCCCCTGGAAAGCCGTGGTCCCGAGGGATGTGTGACGTCAGCTGCATTTATGGTTCACCTCAGCAGTGCTTTAAAGCTGATGCAAAAATGGAAATTCCTCCAGTGATTTGTCCCGAATGTGCCGTGCTGAGCGGCAGAGCTGGGCTGGAGCCGCCCCATGAGCTCCAGAAAAGTCCTGGGAGCCACCCCATGAGCTCCAGGAAAGTCCTGGGAGCCACCCCATGTGCTCCAGGAAAGTCCTGGGAGTCACCCCATGAGCTCCAGGAAAGTCCTGGGAGTCACCCCATGTGCTCCAGGAAAGCCCCGGAAGCTGCAGGGATTTACTTCCCCAAAGGCTCCAAGGTCCATATAGGAACCAAACCTCCAGATAGTTTTCCTTATTAGTGAATAACCACAGGGGGAAGGAGGAGGGTCCCAAGGTGGGGCTCACCCCGTTGTATCCTTGCTGGAATTGATGATTTTATTAGGTTTTTTCATTTTTTGGACTCTTTCCTGCATTCTCTGCTGAGGCAGCTGGTGCGCCAGCTCTGTTCCCTCCACGGCCAAACCTAAAACAAGATAAACCCAAACCCTTTCAGTCCTGAACCCTTCAACCTTCTGCATCTTCATCCCCACGAGATGCAGCTGCTAAACCCTTTCTCCGACAGGCACCGGCCGTTGTTCCCCGTCAACTGTCGGAACTCTAACGCAGCTTCTCTCTGGCTGTTAAGGACACATCACCATCGTCAACTACCTCCTCAACTACTACCCCGCGCTCGAGGTGGACCAGCGGGACCCGCGGGGGCTGACGGCGCTGATGAAGGCAGCGGTGCAGGGGCGGGAGGACTGTGTCACCGCCCTGCTCCTGGCGGGTGAGCGCGTCCCCGGCCCTTTGGGGAAGGGCTGGCGTTGCTGCTCGGGGTGGGGTGGGGTGGTGATCCTCCCCCCGGGATCCCTCTGCCTCCAGGGGCTGACCTGAAAGCGGTGGACGCCGTGAAGGGGAAGACGGCCAGGGAATGGGCAAATTTCACCGGCCGCTTCGAGACCACCGTGCGGATCCGGACCCTCCTGCGGCGCCCGCGGGCGGAGCAGTTCGGATCCCAGTACCGGCCCGAGTGGCCGGCCCTGGCCGAGCTGGTGGCCAAGGCCCTGAGCCCCAAATCCAGGAGCAGGAGGCTGCTGGAGAAGATCTGCTCCATGTTCACCTGCAGCATCCCCTGCAACCCCGAGGAGGACGGCGTGATGGACCACATGGTGAGGATGACCACGTCCCTGGCCAGCCCCTTCGTGGCCACCGCTTGCCAAACCGTCTGCCCCGACAGCCCGCCCGAGGTGGGCAAGCGCAGGCTGTCCGTGCCGGAGATCCTCGGGCAGCACGTGCCGGACCCGGACGCCGACTCGGAACTGTCCTCGCGCCCCAGCACCGGCTCGTCCTCCTGCAACGGCCAGGCCGTGACGGAGGTGCCGCCGCCGCCGCCGCGCCGGCCGGGCCACCGCTTCCTGCGCTTCCTGCCGCTGTGGCTGCGGCGCGGGAACAGCATCTTCCCCCTCGGGGAGCCCGTCCCCAGGATCAAAGTGAGCAAACCCTCCGGCCCGGCCCCCGACTCCAGGGAGCAGAAGCCGCGCGTGAAGGACAAGCACCTCCTGAAGCCGCCCCAGTGGAGGTACAAGGCGCTGAAGGAGGAGAAGAGGGCGACCGAGGAGGCCAAGGCCAACGGGGAGGAGAAGGAGAAGAAGAAGAAGAAGAAAAAGAAAAAGAAACGCTAAGGCAGGAGGTGCCGGGGTGGGGACGAGGTCCCCGCTGTCCCCTTGGACCTGCTGGCTCTTGTGGCACAGGGATGGTTTCCTTCCTGGCCGGACGGGAATGCCCAGGGGAGGAGGGTGATGTGGGCATACGCACCCAGCTGAGATGTCCCCACTGGTCCCTTGTCCTCTCTACCTTGAGGGTGACCACCCCAGTCCAGCGCTGGTCATGCTGGGCACCGACGTGCTGAGATCCTGGCCTGGGCTCTGGGAGTGCCAGGGAGCAGGACTGTGGCACAAGTTGCTCCCTTTTCTTCCTTTTTGGTTTGGTTTTTTTTTTTTTTTTTTTTTTTTTTTTTTTTTTTTTTTTTTTGGCTCTTTGATCTTCCTGAGCTCTTGATTCCACAGCGTGTGTTGGAATGTGGCTGAGCAAATTAAAATGGAAGTGGTTGCCATGTTAACAGGATTGATTCCATGAATAAAGCTCAGGGTTGCTTGTGGGGCTGGCAGGAATGCTCCCTCCTCTCTGCCAAAGTCCCCTGGCCACCCTGTCACCCCCTTGGTGACACTGCTCACTCCTGCGTGTTCCTGGGTCGTGGGTGGACACACCAAGGCTCACCAAGGGAAGCAGCTCCATACTGTGGAGGGTGAGGGAGCTCTGGGTGCCAGGCACAGGCTGGAAACCAAACTCGGGGTGCTTGTGGGCTCCCCCTTCCTTAGGGGGATGAGAGCCCCCACTGTGAGGCCGCAGCCTTGCCTTGGGGGGGCACGGGGAGGTTTGGGCTGAGCCGCAGGCAGGGAAGGGTTGTGGTGGGGAAGGAAGGAGCTGCAGCCTCCCCGTCTGTTCCCCCCCAGCCCTTGGCTCGGCCGGGCTCCCCTGCACGTGGCTGCCCTCCCTCGCCAGCTCCCGGCGACTGGCAGATGAGCCGGGGGCGGATGGCACACGGAGCAGCCGCCGCACGCGCCGCGCCAGCCTGGCTCCCGCCGCACAGGGGGAAGGGTCAGACGGGCTCCCACCGGCCCCTCGTCCCCTCTGCCACTGCAGTGAGACCCCGAGGGGCGGCTGGATGTGCCCATGGAGGGTCTGACCGCGGTGCAGGGATGCCCGTGCCCTTCCACGGGGTGAAATGGCGGCGATGGTGATGGAAAGGAGGTTGCGCCACGGCTGGCGCGGGATGTCGGGTCACGGTGCTGTCTGGTGGTGCCCAGCCCTGCTGACTCACCCCGTCTGCCCCACTCAGAGCTGGCAGCAGGGCAGGAGCCTGCCAAGGGTTTGCTTTGTCCGTCGTGTCCCTTCACAGTCAGTCCCACCGTGGGGAAATCCACTTTCCCACAGCGGCAGTGCCAGAGCAACAGCCTGGCCTTGGGGCTCCCCACTCATCCCTGCCCTTCAAGTCACCCAGGATTAGGACTTAGGAAGTTTTAGAAGTTTTTAAGCAAGTGTTTATCCCCCCCGTGACGATTAGGATTTAAAAATGAAGATGTCCTGTTTGGAAGACGGAGTCGTGGGGATCAAACCGGCTGGCACCCGCCCTTGCCAGAGAGCTGGTGTGCTTGGCTGCCTGGGGCAACCCCTGCCCGTAGCCATAAATTTGGGGTGCTGATGCCCACCCTGTGCCTGCTCCCATGGGGGGGGATGCAGGAGCCATCCAGGAATAACTCTGGGAGGGGCTGATCTGCAGCTGGATCACAGAGACCTGCAGAGCAGAGCAAAGATGGTCACGGAGATAAGATGTCTGCAGGCACCGGCTTCCTCCGGGGCGGCTCCTATCTGATGGAAACTGCCCGTTTCCCCCGCGCCGGCTCCCAAAGCTCCGGGCCCAGCACACGGGCAAGGTCACCCGTGAAGGTCCTTCGTGTTTTATCCTGGTTTTGTGCTTTTGTTTGTTTAAACTTCCTAGATCACGGCCGATAGCGGGGCGAGGCTGCCGGCGAGACTCAAAGCTCCGCCGCCGCGGTGCCCCGGCACAAGGAGGCTCCGGGTGGGTTCATGATGCAACTGGGGCTGGTGATGCAACGGGAACGGGGTGGCAAAGCAGGCCCTGGCACCCGGTTAGGAAAGAGGCTGCGATGCCGGGTCGAGTCACGGTGCTGGTGGAGCAGCTGGGAGAAAGGCAGGGATGGGGCTTGGGAAGGCGCTGGAGGGGCAGGAGAGGATGGGAGAAGTGTGGAGCAGCTGAGATTGGGGTGGCCCAAAGAACAGCCCCGAAAGCAGCAAAAGGGGAAGCGGCGCTTCCGCCGCCCGCGGTCCCGTGTGCCCTGGGGGAGCGGGAAGTGCCCAACCTCCCGCCGTGGGAACGGCCCTGCCGGCGGCATCCCAGCGCCGGCCACCGTGGCATCGTGTGGGAAGAGCCAGGGCCGAGCCAGTACCAGCCCCTTGGCCCAGCCAGCCTGGCTCCGTGCCCGCAGCCGGGCTCAGCATCCCCAGTGGGGCACCCCCCGATGCCACGTTGTACCCCGGGGGTGAAATCCTCCCGTGCCCCATCCCAGGTGTTGTGTCCAACATGGAATAACCAGGGAGCCCCTTGGGGGGCTGTGATGCTCCATCCCCACGAGGGTTGGAGGCTGGAGCGGGAGGGATGGCCAAGCATGCCAAGGTCATTCCCACGGCATCCCTCTAGAACATTCCCATCGCCACCAAAGCTGCTCTCCTACCATCGGCCTGGGGATGCCCAGGGTAGGAGCTCTCATGGCCACGTCCCCACAACGGGCTTGGGTTGGCTTTGAAAGCTGGGAAACCATGTGGGGAAGAGCCCGGGGAAGGACGAGGCGGGAGGAACGGGCGAGGGAGAGCAACCAGGATGGAGCTGGGGCCCGGTGAGCGGGAGGAAGGGAGGCCGGTCGTGGCTGTGTGCTCAGCAATAGGAAATGCTTTATTAGCTGGGAGTGGTGGAGAGAAGCCAGGCAGGAAGAGGCAGTAATAAGAAACATTTTTTTGACTTCTCCCACATCCAGACCACAGAGCTCCTGCCAAGCGGCTGCGTCGGACGGCGGGGCTGCCGAGCCCCCGGGACCGGGAACGGCGACGTTGCCCCACCGGGACGGGCACGGCCGCAGCCGCGGGAGCTGCCCCAGTGCCGGGACGGGCGGCGGGAGGGGAGCAGACCCATGAAGCTCCTCCAAGCCGGGGTGCAGGGCACGGAGCAGAGCTGCCCCAGCTCCGAGAGCGGGACCGTGGCCGGGAGAGCCTCGCCAGGGCCGGGCAGTGCCGTGGGCGCCCGCGGGACGCCGATGCTGTAGGTGAGTGGGGAAGCACCGCGGGGTCCGGGGCTGCGCTGAGCTCAGCATTTCTCTCCTGATTTACCCCCGGGGCAGCTGAAAGCAGGATTTGCCCCCGTTTCCCTCACGTTCGGTGGGACACCGGTGTCAACCCCCGGGGTTGGAGAAACTGGAATTGGGGCTGGGAGGGTGAATCTGGCTCCACACCAGTGGGCTGGTGACAGGATCCGTCCCCATGTTCTTGCTGAAGAGCTGAAGTAACACGCAGCTGCAACGGAAAGGCTGGAATCAACATGGGAAATGGGGAATTTGGGTGTACTTTGAAAAGCCACAGGGAAAAATGAGGGAGAGTTGACAGCAATTCTAGCCAGGGGCTGGAGCGAGGGCGGCGGGCACGGGCGGCAGAGACGCTGCAGGATGTGCCACCTCCATGTTCCCCTTTGGCACAGCCAAACTCTGGGGCTCTCAGAGGAGGGGTGGTTGAGGAAGAGCCAAACTGCTGCTGAAGAGGCTCCATCTCCAGAGCCAAGCTGGGATGAGCCTCACCACGGAGCTCTGTCCCACTGTGGGCACAGAGCCTTCCCTGAGGCCAGGCCAGGGTCACTGCCCTTGTCCCTGCTCTGCACGAGGAGCAGGGGGCAGTGCCAGCCCCACGCTGGGGTGACCCTGGGCAGGTTTTGCTGCTCTCTGTGTGTGTCTCATGTTCATGGAACAGCAATGCCCGTCAGGGAGAGGGGCTGGGGCGGCTCAGCCCCTCCAGTGCAGCTCCCTGAGCCGAGCATCCCTCCTGTGCCAGAGGGTGAGTGCAGCTTTGCTGCATCCGTGACCCTCCTGCAGCCCCGGGCAGGGAGAGGAAAACCTCCCCCTGAGCCTGAAACCAGGCTGGAGCCTTGGGAGCTGTGGCAAAGCTCCTGCTGACTCCGGCAGTGTCCTTCACGCCGGCAGCTGGCACGTGCCTGGCTCACCCTGCTCCCCCTCGGCTGGCACCGGCACTGGCACCGGCACTGGCACGAGGGGCTCGGCTGTGTCTGGCTCCCTGTGAAAAGGCAGCACAGGGAACCGAGTCAGGAGCCACATCCTGTGTCAAACCCCCCTGGGAGCAGCAGAAACTGCAGGGGAGGGCGGAAGCACCGGGACTGTGAAGCTCAGTTGAGTCCCCCCCCCATAAGACCCTAACCCTAACCCTAACCCTGAACCATCCTACACATCCCAAGGGTTGTGCCCAGCCACCCTTCCCTGGACTCCTGTTGCCTCCTCCTCCACCTCCATGGGGAAATTCCCCTTCCCAGGGCTGGGTCTTGCTCTGCACCCCCCGACTGTGGTGCCCATCATTCCCAGCCGCTCCTGTCGGCATCCACGTCCCATCCAAGAGGTTTTCATTGGGGTTTTTTCCATCTCCTGATGCTGCTACAAATCCCGAAAGATATGGCACAGATGGGGAAAGATGCTCTGGGTGACAGGAGAGTGCTTGAGCTGCAGTTCCTGATGACAAATGAGGAAGGTTGGGGACAGGGATGGGGGTGCAGGCTCTGATTTGATCCATTACGGAAGCACTCAGGATGTTTTTCCAATGGGATGCCAGGGATGACTCTGGATTAAGGTTTGCTCTTGGTAACAACAACAAGCCATGTGATATTTCATATACAACAAAGTTTTGGGCCCTGCCCACTTTGTGTTTCACAACAAATACCCCACAGACATCTAAGGCTTGGGATTTAATGGAAAGGGCTCCCTGGAGGGAATTCACCACCTGGGAGACTCAGCTTTCCTTTAAAAAGATGCATTTTGGAGCTCTCAGAATTGCAGGGAGAAGCAGAGTGCCTGGGGGCACCCTGGGCACTCGGGGAGCAGCAGCCCAGCTCCAAGGGGGTTGAGGTTTTAAAATAAAGTTGATCCCAGCCCAGGTCCAGGGGAGTTGGGATTTTAAAACAAAGCTGATCCCAGCCCAGGTCCAGGGGAGTTGGGATTTTAAAACAAAGCTGATCCTGGCCCAGCCGAGGATCTGGATGGAGATCAGCCCGGCATCGCTCCCGGCACGGGGCACCCGGGACTAGATCTCACTCCTGCCCTCCAGCCCCCGGACCTGGCACCCGGTCGCTGTTTCCTCCCCGCGAGCAACAACCAAGCGAGTTATTTCGGGGAGGAAAAGCCCGTTTTACGGCGCTGCCGGAGCCTGCCGGGGTCAGCCGCGTCTGAGCGCGCTCCCGAGGGCTGGGCTTGCGTGACTCCGCTTCCCCATCAAGGCCAGAATCTAAACAATCTTGATTCCTGTCCCGGCAGCCCTGGGCTGGGCTCTTCAATTGCAGGAAACGGAGCCTTTGGCGTGTTTATGTCGGGAACCACGAAGAATGAGCCGAGGAGGGGCCGGGAGCCCGCGGCCACGGAGCGGGGCGGGGGGCACTGGGGGGGGCTCCGCCGTGTTTGCCTTGGCAGGAATGTCCCTTTTGCAAGTCCAAAAAAAAAAAAAAAAATGGGAAGAGAAAAAATAGCCAAACTTCCCCCGAGGCACAGCAGGGAATTTTTGGCTGCCCCTGTTTGTGTCATTGATAAGCTCGGTGCAAAAGCCCCGCCGGGATCGAGCCCCGGACCGCGGCCAGCGGCACTCGGAGGCTCCGGTGCACGTGGTGTGAGGCCTTTGAGCTCCACCCCAAGGCCTGGATCTTGCTGAACCTGGAATCTCCAGCGGTGCCGAGCCCGTGGGGGCCGTGGTTTTACAGAGCAGGAGCCGTGGGAATGGTGGGAAATGCTGGAATACGGATCGTTGGCACAAAGGAAGGATGTTGGGGCGGCGTGGACAGGGCAGGGGCCCGGTCCCAGTGCCATCCGTGGTGTCCAGTGCCACGGTCGGGAGGTCCCCCAGGCTCGGGAGGTCCCGGGATGTGCTCTCAGGAAGGGCTGTACCCAGGATGTCCGGAGCCAAACTCCATTGGAAGCAGCACATCCTACCTCGCTCCGCCCGCCCTCTCCCTCTCCAGGTCCCCCCTCTTCCTTCCCAAAGCCCCCCAGGGCTGGTGATGAGCCCCTCGGGGGCGCGGGGGCCGCTCTCACCGCTCCTCTCTCCGCAGGACGATGCCGTGTGGAGCCGGTGGCCGCGCGGTGCTGGCGCTGATGACCCTGTCCCTCGGCCTCGCAGCCGGTGAGTACCAACGGGAGGGGGCGAGCGGCAGGTTAAAACAAACCCTCGGCTTTTTGGGAGCGTCTCTGCCCAAAATAACCTCCTGCAGAGGGAGCCGGGGCTCCTCGGGGACGGCGCCGTTCCCAGCGAGGGGCTGTGCCCCTGCGGGACGGTGACGCACTCCCCAGGGAGGATCTCGGCTTAATTAATTAATTGTGGTTGATCAAGTGCTTTGCCGTCACCGGAGGGGAGACGGGGAAGGCTGGCACCACGTGCTTTAAAGAGTACTCCTTCCCAGGGGTGATGATGGTGATGATGATGATGATGATTGTGGGGAGGAGCTGCTCAGCATCCCAGGGGAGCTCCAGGTGACCTGGGGGCGGATCCAGCTGGCCGTGTTTGTGCAGGGGGGACAGGGACAGTGTGGCTGTGCTGGGGAGGAGCAGCAGAGCTCACTGAGGGGACAAGTCCCCACCGAGTCCCCGTCCTGCCCACGGGGCCACCAACCCCAACCTGGCCTTGCCACCACCCCACAGCACTGGCACTGGGCAGCCTTTGGGGCAGGGGGATGACGGGCACAGGAGGGGGACTGGCCGCTGCCAGACATCCCCTCGCTGTCCCCTCGCCGTCCCCTCGCCGCTGGCCGCCTGGCTGCCCTCACACTGAACTCGCTGATTCCAGGAGGGATATTTTCTGCGCGAAAGGGCAGAGCTAAATCGGGAGTTCGGGACTGTGGCGCCCTCTGAGCTGCTCCAGCACCACAGCACAGGGAAATGCCTTCGGGGAAGTCAGGAAAAGCTCCAGGAAAGACGCCGGGTTTGGCACCCAGCTCCTGAAACACCCTCTGGGAAGGCGCTGGCTGAGTTTGGGGCTTTTGATCCCATCCTGGCTCCCGGCATCCGGCTCCCACGGCTCCCACGTCCTCTGGGACCCCACGGGCAGGATGTGAACCAGTGCATCCCAGTTAATCCCAGCTGCTGGGGCTGGATGCACAGCCCACCCAGTGCCTGTCAGGGGTGTGGGGACAGGTGACCCCCAGGTTCAGGGCTGGCACTTGGATTGTAGCTTTTCCAGGAGTTGTCAGGACGGGCTCCCTGTACTGAGCACCCACAGACACATTCCCCTTCTGGACCACGATGGTCCCAGGCTGCCCACTCTCAAAATTTGGTTCAGGAGTCCCTAGGACAATGTCCCTGTCACCAAAGCCAGCAGCCCCCATCCAGGGTGGTCCCGTGGCACAACGTGCCCCCTCCTCGTGCCCGCAGACGAGCTGCTGTGCGCCTGCGACGTGCCCTTCTGCAGCCAGCCCACCTGCACGGGCAAGGTGTGCTTCGTCAGCAAGAGGAGGGAGGAGGGGACCATCACCCAGCACCGGGGCTGCTTCTCCCAGAACATCCTGGAGCACTGCAACACGCCCGTGACGGAGCAGTACGGCATGAGGTGCTGCGAGTCCCACATGTGCAACGCCGAGCTGGAGATCTTCCTGCAAGGTACGGGGCCACGGGGGCAAGGGGCAGAGCTGCCCACGCAGCTGGAGGTGTGGTTGGGGCTGCAGATCGTCCCTGTCCTCACTCAGCCCCTCCAGAGCCACCTTTTCCCAGGTGGGCAGGGCCAGCGAGATGCCCTCAGGTGTCCCTTATTGGGCTGTGCCCGCAGAGCTGCCATCCGTGGGGTTGAACCCAGTGCAGAGCCACCCTCTCCAGGTCCAAGCCCAAACCCCGAGGCCTCCACCCTCCCACGTCGAAGCCTGAGCCCCAAGACCTTCATCATCATGCTCCCATCTACCATTTCCCCCACCCAGGAGAAGATGCCCTGGGAAAAGTGCCTTCCCTGCCCAACCTCCTCCTGATGATCTTCGTCCCGCTGCTCGCCCTCCTCGTCCTCGTGGCGCTCACGGGGCTCTTCTGCTGGAAGGTGGCCCAGCACCGCCAGAAGCAGAGTGACCTCAGCGACACCGACCTCATGCTGAAGGTGTCCATGGTGGGAGACAGCACCTTAGAGGTGGGTGAGCTCCGGGAGGGACCCCGAGGTGTGGGAGGGTGGGGTGGCCTCTGTGCTGACCCCACGGTCGCCCCGGCTGTGCAGGACCTGCTGAACGACGACTGCACCACGGGCAGCGGTTCGGGGCTGCCCTTCCTCGTGCAGAGAACGGTGGCTCGGCAGATCACCCTCGTGGAGTGCGTGGGTAAGGAGCAGGGGGGGCTGCCCCGGTGCCCCAGCCGGTGCTTGGGCGATGCCACCGCAACTTCAGACCCAAGAGGGGGGTTAGACCCCACCAAAACCCCGGGAGGGAGGGACAGAGAGGCTGGGTGGGTGGATGGATGTTAGCAAGGCCAGTGGATGCAGCGCCGCTCCGTCGCTCTTCCACACGGGATCCCGGTGCTCCGTGCTGGGGGTGGGCAGGGCGTGGGGGTCCGAGGGGCTGCGTGGCACAGTGCCGTGGCCGTGGCAGGTAAAGGGCGCTACGGCGAGGTGTGGCGAGGCGTGTGGCACGGGGAGAGCGTGGCCGTGAAGATCTTCTCCTCCCGGGACGAGCAGTCGTGGTTCCGCGAGACGGAGATCTACAACACCGTCCTGCTCCGGCACGACAACATCCTGGGTGAGCGGGGGGCCGGCAGGGCTGGGGGCGTGGGGGGCAGCTGAGTGGGGGCTCCACGGTGCCAGCTCTTCTCCCTGCCCAGGTTTCATCGCCTCTGACATGACGTCGAGGAACTCCAGCACCCAGCTGTGGCTCATCACCCACTACCACGAGAACGGCTCCCTCTACGACTTCCTGCAGAGAACGGTCCTGGACGTGGAGACCTGCCTGGGCCTGGCCTCCTCCATCATCTGCGGCCTCGTCCACCTCCACGTGGAGATCTTCGGCACCCAGGGCAAGCCCGCCATCGCCCACCGGGACCTGAAGAGCAGGAACATCCTGGTGAAGAGCAACCGGCAGTGCTGCATCGCTGACCTGGGTGAGGTGGAGGGCCGGGGTGTGGCATCCCAGGGATTTGGGACCCCAGGGATGTGTGACCCTGGAATGTGGGACCCCAGGGATGTGTGACCCAGGGATGTGGGACCCCAGGGATGTGGTGCTCCAGGGATGTGTGACCCAGGGATGTGGTACCCCAGGGATGTGGTGCTCCAGGGATGTGGGACCCCAGGGATGTGATACCCTGGGATGTGTGACCCAGGGATGTGGTACCCAGGGATATGTGACCCAGGGATGTGGTACCCCAGGGATGTGGTACCCAGGGATATGTGACCCAGAGATGTGGTACCCCAGGGATGTGTGACCCAGGGATGTGGTACCCAGGGATATGTGACCCAGAGATGTGGTACCCGAGATGTGGTACCCCAGGGATGTGTGACCCAGAGATGTGGTACCCCAGGGATATGTGACCCAGGGATGTGGTACCCCAGGGATGTGTGACCCAGAGATGTGGTACCCCAGGGATATGTGACCCAGGGATGTGGTGCCCCAGGGATGTGGTACCCCAGGGATGTGTGACCCAGGGATGTGGTACCCCGGGGATGTGTTGCCCCACAGATGCAACATCCCGGGACACAGCACCAGCACAGCACTGACCGAGGCCAACATCCCGGCCTTTTACAGTTAAACTGGAAGACCTTAAAGGTCCTTCCCAACCCCAGTGACTGTGATTCTGTCCCATCCCCCCCCCCAGGACTGGCTGTCATGCACTCCCAGGGCAGCGACTACCTGGACATCGGCAACAACCCCCGGGTGGGCACCAAGCGCTACATGGCCCCCGAGGTGCTGAGCGAGCAGATCCGCACCGACTGCTTCGAGTCCTACAAGAAGACGGACATCTGGGCCTACGGGCTGGTGCTCTGGGAGATCACCCGGCGCACGGCGGTGAACGGTGGGTGGATCCCAGCCCGGCGGCTCCGCTCGCTCCCGGCTCCCCTCGCTCGCTCTGTCCTTCCCTCCTTCTCTTGTTGCCTTTTTTTTTTTTTCTCCTCCTTTCCTTCGCCCAGAAGATTAGCTGTAAATTATAAACACTGTAATCTAGTGTCAGCACCCGGCTCCCTGATTAAAGGGCCCATTAGGCTCAATCAGTGCTTTGTTTGTTCAGCGCTGATTAGAAAACAAGCAGCTCCCGAGCTCTGCCTGGAAAGCGGCCACGGCCGGGACCTTCGGCCGCTGGGGCTTGGCTTGGGAACTCGGGAATGGGGACAGGGATGAGGTCCCCCCGCGCCGGGGAGGAACCTCCTCGGGGCTGCCCGGCCAGCGCTGCTCATCAGGCAAAGCCCATTAGAAGCATTAATTAAATGGTGGGTGCTGGCAGGTGAGGGGGGAGGTCCCCCCAGGCACAGTCTGGCCGGGATAATCTCATTTAGGGCCCCAGGGCTCCCTCAGATTACACATTTACTCCGAATTACCCCGGCCATGTGCAGGGACGACCTTCAGCCAGCCGGGTTTAACCCTTCCAGAATCCCCCCCCCTCCAGGATGGCCTCAGGGCATCAGGGATGGGGGGGCTCCAGGGGACCCCGAGGTTTGGGGGCTATGCCTTGGGGTGCAGGGAGCTGGTGAGGGCTCGGGGCATCCCACAGAGGTTAAACCCTGCGGGGACATGGACATACGGAGGCACTAAGAGGAGATTAGCTGGGCCAGCTGGCCGGGGGGTGACGGCTGGAGGTGGTGGCAGTGCTGGGGGCTGGAGCTGGTGCTGGGGGCTGGAGCTGGTGCCGGAGCTGGCGTTCATGGTGGGGCTGGGGCTGGATTAGTGTCAAGGCTGGAGCTGGTGCCAGAGCCACCAGCAGTGCCAGAGCCGTGCACTCCACGGGCACCATCACCGGCACATCCCAGCGGCGATTCCCCCCGTGCCCCCCAAGGCAGGGAGCAGCTCAGCCATGCCAGACCCTCCGGGCACCCCGTGATGCACAGGATGGGGGTGATCCCCAGGCTCACCTCCCCCCCCTCACGCCGCCCCCCTTCCCACAGGAATCGTGGAGGAGTATCGGCCGCCCTTCTTCGACGCCGTCCCCAGCGACCCCAGCTTCGAGGACATGAAGAAGGTGGTGTGTGTGGACCAGCAGACCCCCGTGATCCCCAACCGCCTCTTCTCTGACTCGGTGAGTCCCGGGGGGGCCGCCCCCCTCCCACCCTGGGCCAGACCTTTGCCCCCCTGTTAAACCCTTCCATTTATCCCTCTTTTTGTGCCTCCCCAGGTTCTGTCGGCGCTGGCGAGGGTCATGAAGGAGTGCTGGTACCAGAGCCCCTCCGCCCGCCTCACCGCCCTGCGCATTAAAAAGACGCTGAAGAAGCTGAACAATTCCCTGGAAAAGCCAAAGCCGGAGCAGTGAGAGCCGGGAACACGCTGGAGCCGCTCACGGGCTGCACCGGGGACTGCGGCGAGGCCGGTGTCGGGATGGCTCCGGTCTCAGAGGGGTTTTGCTCACGGCCCCCGCCTCTCCCACCCCTCCTTGGAGCCGTTTGGATTTGCAAGGACTGAAAAAAATAGGGAAAAAAAAAAAAAACAAGCAAACCATAGGAGGAATCTTCCAGTCGGTTATAAAAATACCCCCCCGGATCCGTCATCCGACGCCGGCGCGTCTCGTCTGCCCGGCGGGGAGGGCAGCGGGTGCCTGGGGCTGGTGGCACACCCTGAGCCCCCCGGCTGGACACCACCACGAGGGGCACCGAGGACAGAACCATCCCCTGCTGCACCCCGAGCCCGCGGGGCACCCACCCAGCGCCGGCACCGCCCTGGCACCAGTTCCAGCCCCGGAGCTGCCCAGACCTGCCCGCCCGGCGCTGGCAGCGGGAACGCCGCGGGCTCGGCGGCGGCGGCAGGAATTCCCCGGCAGGGCTGCGGTGCCCGGCGCGCCTCTCGCCGAAGGAGAGGGATGGATTTCACTGGGAAAGGATGGTCCAAGGGCAGCATCGCCCCGGTCACGCCGGATCCGCGCCCTGGCGCGTCGTGGGGCTCCCCAGGATGAGGAGCTGCTGGCGTCAAGCACGGCCTGAGCACCCCTCCGAGGCGGGGGTCCCGTGGTGGCCTGATCCTTCCCTGCCCAGCAGCCGGCACCCCCTTCCCAAAGAAGTGCCCTTTTGGGTCTTTGCCAGAGTTTTGGTGTTTCCCGAGGTGTTCCGGCTCTGTCCCGCGTCGCTCGCCGCCATCCCAAAATCCGCCCCGCGCTCCGGGCTGTTCAGACACGACCAGGACGGGACGCTCAGCAGAGCCAGCTTTGCTCCATAACTATTTAATTATTAAGATTTAATATATTTAATAAAGTGTAAAGCTATTTTATCGCCTAAGAGCCGCCAAACCTCCCGCGCCGGGCACTGGGCACCGCGGCAGGACGGGCCCCGGAGCTCCTGCCCGGCTCCGTTTGTGGCTTCACCTCCGAGTATCCAATGGATCCGTCGGATCCCGCGACAAACCTGGCTTCAGCCTTGTGCCAACCCCTTCCCGGTGCCCATGAGGGGCTGGGGCTGCTCCAGGGGGCTCCCCTGGAGTCGTCTTGGTCTGAGCCCAGTTAGGGACTGGGAGGAACTGGGCAGCAACGGGCAGCTGCTGGTTGTGGGGGGGGGGATGAGGGGATGTGGGGCTGGGCAGGGCAGGGGTTGGGGTGCCCTACCTGGGGTTTGGGGCTCTCTGGCCAGGTTTTGGGGTGCCCTGCCCAGGGTGGCTCAGTCCCCAGGCAGATTGCACATACACACACACACATCACGCATGCACACACACAAATCATGCTTGAACACACACAGCATGTATGTACAGATGTCATACATGATCCCACACACAGAAATCACACTTGAACATACACAAATCACGCTTGTACACATCCCTCACCCACGCACACACGGCATACATGATTGCATGCACGCACATCATGTCTGCATAAACACATCACACACACATGTCACACACGTATCACACACATATCACGTCACACATATCACACACACATATCACATGTCATACATATATCGCACGCATACCACACATATCATAGACATATCACACATGTATCACACACACATATCACACACGTCACACACGTCACACACATATCACACATGTCACACACATATCACACACATCACACACATATCACACTTCACACACGTCACACACATATCACACACGTCACACACATCACACACATATCACACACGTCACACACGTCACACACACATCACACACACGTCACACACACCACACACATATCACACACGTCACACACATCACACACGTCACACACATCACACACGTCACACACATCACACACATGTCACACACATGTCACACATGTCACACACACATCACACACCACACACGCGTCACACATGTCACACACGTCACACACATCACACACATCACACACATGTCACACACATGTCACACATGTCACACACATCACACACATGTCCCACACATGTCACACACATGTCACACACACGCCCCGCCCTCCCCTCCCCGCGGCGCCCGCGCGGCCCCGCCCCTCCCCGGCCCCGCCCCCGGCCCCGCCCCCCGCGCCGCCGGCCCCGCCCCCCTCCGCTCCCCCTCCCGCCGGCGCTGCGGCCGCTCCGCTCCGAGGCCGCGGCGCTTCGCCCGCCATGGCCGCCCGGGCCCCCCGCTCCCCGCCGCCCCCGACCGCCGACCGCCGGCCCCCGCCGCCGCCCGCCGCCCCCCTGCTCGCCCTGCTGCTGCTCCTGGCCGGGCCGCTCGGCGGGGCCCGCGGTGAGTGAGCGGCGGCGCCGGGCCCGGCCCGCACCGGGCACAACATGGCGGCGCCCCCGCCCCCGCCGGGAGGGGAACCGGGGGTCGGGGGGGGGTTCGTGAGGGGGAGCGGGGGGCGATGGGGGGAAGCGGGGGTGAGGCGATGCCGGGGGCTGAGGGGGACGGGGGGGGCCGGGGCCTGCCCGGGCCTGGATCTGGGTGGGGGCTGTGGGGCAGGTGAGGGGGGGGTGAGGCCGGGGGGGAGATTTTAGGAGGGTTCGAGGGCGGTGAGAGAGGTTTGAGGGGGCTGGAGGTGCCCCCGAGACGGTGAGGAGGCCCTGAGGGCTCGGGAGGGGGGGCACAGGTGGGTGTTTCAGGGTGGGGAGGAGGAATTGGGGAAGGGGGATCCATGGAATGCGGGGGTCCTGGAGGGTGGGGGGGTGAGAGGGTTGGAGGGGGAGCTGGAGGTGCCCCCGAGGCTGTGAGGAGGCACTGAGGGGTTTGGGGGCGGGGGGGGACACAGGAGTGGGTGTTTCAGGGTGGAGAGAAGGATTTGGGGAGGGGGCTCCATGGGGTGGGGGTTCCTGGGAGATTGGGGGGCTCTGGAGACATCAAGGATCTCGTGTGAGGGTTCTCGGGGGGGGGGGTCCAGCCTGGCCGGGGGGGCTCAGGGGGCTCACAGGGGTGTGTGGTGCAAAGAGGACCCTGGAGCTGGTTTTGGGGGGTGTCCCTTTCCCCCTCTGAGATGTCTGGGGAGGGCAACAGCAATTGGGGCTGGGGGTCAGCTCCCAGTGCTGGGGGGTCCTGTGGTGCTGAGGGATGCTCCACCGAGGCCCCCCGTGCTCACCTTGGGAAGAGATCTGGGAGCCTCCAGCCTGGCTTGAGGGGATCACGAAGGAAACCGGGATTTATGGGCTTCTCTCAGAGTGAGGATGGGCTTGGGGGGGCTCCTGGGGGTGGGTCCCAGAGGTGTTTTGGGCTTGGCACTGAGAAGCGGGTCAGCCCAAGGTGGGAAGTGCCACCGTCTTTTTGTGGAGCCTGTGGAGTTTGTCACCTCTTCCCATCATCCCGTGGCCCATCCTGGGGGGGCTTTGGTGGCCCCCCCTGCCCTGGAGATCCATAACTTCCAGCCCCTCTGAACCTGCAGTTTGGGGTTTTAAGGAAACCTTCCCCGGCCCTGAGCCTCTGGGTTGGAACAACTGTAAATATTTGTTTGGAGGGAGGGAAAACTCTTTGTGTTGGTCGTTTGTTCCGTGCTGATCCGTTCCCTTTACCTGGCGGGGTCCTGCCGCTCCCGGGGGACGAGCGAGGGGTCTTGCCTCTGGATTTGGGATGAGCTGGGCCCTTTTCTCCAGAGGAGGGGCCTGAAGGATCTCTGAGCATCCCTCAGGGCACAGAGGACAGGCTGGTGGCCGTGGCCCCCGGTGTCCAAGGCTCCCCAGCCCAGTCCAGCTCCGTGGCTGTCGGGGCGATCGCTGTTGTGTAACTCGGGTGCCTGTTCCGACAGGCTCCACGCTGGAATATTTTTCTCCTCCTCCCCAACCTCTCACTCTTCGGGTTCTGCATTCCCAGCCGACCGTCAGAGGGTAATAACTGTGTGTGTGTGTGTGCAGATCTGGACTTGTCAGAGCCGCGGAAAATGGCTTTAAATCTCACCTGGGCAGCAGGTGAGGGTTTGCCTGTGAGTCCTGGGAATTTGGGGATGGGATTGTGTTTTAGGGGGTGTTTTAGGTGCGCTTTGGTGTAACCTCAGGTAAAACCCAGCCCGAGGAAGGGGTTTCAGTTCCTCTGTGACGAATGGCAGAGCAGGATCTGATGGGACCCACTGCACAGCTGCTCTCAGGCTCTCACTTAGGTGCAAGATGGTGTTTATTAAAAAAAAATAATCATAATTAGTAAACAGGAAAGGGCCACTTGACTGCACGAATCCCCTGGAAACTCGGTGCCTTTGATTTTGGCCTCTGTGAGTGACTATTGTTTCCGCTCAGTGTGCACTGAATGGTTTTATTCAGTCCAAGGTGTGAGCTCAGCCTGGATTTGAGGGAGCTGTGCTCGTGGAGCGAGGGGCAGGATGGCAGGGAACAGGGAATCCCCCTGGGAATTGTTTGCTGCTGGAGCAGCCATGATGCACGGGGCTGCCCTCACTATTGTGCTTTGTACCACACGTTTAACAGCTGCTTATTTCAGGGAAGGCTGGAAAAACATCCCAATTTCTGCAGTGCTGGGGAGCCTGAGCCTCTGTGTGCCAGCAAACAGAGCAGAAAGCCCCCCTCCAGCCCCTTCCTTTAAAAAAAAAAAAAGGAAAAGAATCAAGAAAGGTGCCTCTGCAGTGATGGTTCTGGGGTGTTGCGGGTCAGCTTTGCTCGAAAGAAAGCAGCAAACCCACCGTGGGGAACAATTTGGGGCAGCAGATTTTTATCATTAACACCTGCTGCAAATATTTACCCGGTTAAATCAGGCGAACCCCGCGCCGGCCGTAACCGCCACCCTGCCACTTTCCAAGAAAGCCTTTCTCTAACTGGAAATTAGAAACAGTGTCCAACAAGCATTCTTGAACTCCTCCAGCTCCTTGGCCAGACAGCTCGGGTTGGGTTTTTTTTTTCTTTTTCCTTTTTTTTCCCCCCTCTCCCCGGCGCTGCCAGGAGGGGATGCTCCGGAAATGGCTCTTGCGAAAGGAGCGAAGGCAAACGTCAGTTCTCTCAGCGAGCAAAGTTCACTGGGCGGTGGTGACCAGTGGGAATGTGTCTGCCCTGAGCAGAGCGGGCAGGAACTGCTCCCCCACCAGGGTTTGACAGGGATGAAATGCCAGGTGGGAGCTCTCTTGTCCCCCTGGTTTAAGCCCCTGGCTCTCGGCCTCCCTGTGCTTTGCTTGCAGACATATATTTATTTATTTTCAGCAGCAAAACAGCCTTCCCTGCACTTCAAATCCCCTTGGTAGCCTTGCTGCCTTCTGTGGGCTTTTTGGAAGTACGGGTGGATTGCTGGATGTGGGAATAGAGACCTCACATTAAACAACTTGTTTGTACTCTGGAAAAGCCAATTGCCTGAGAAAAGCCAGGATGGGGTTGAAGTGTTGGAACTTCGGTAATGACCTGGGCATCAGGTGTGCAGGATGTTCTTCCACAGCACTGGTGTGGTCTGGTGGCTCCTCAGCTGGTTTCCTGACGAGTTTAAACACAAAATGGGTGTCAGACCAGAGCCTGGAGAGGGAATTCGGAGCCACATATCTGTGTTCCGAGTGGAAGAGCAGCAGCAGAAACATCGAGGCTTCTTCTAATTACCCTCTTAATGATGAGACTCCTGTCAATTCCTTATTTACAATTCATCTGGAAGCTCCTTTGTGTTCCTTGAGTCGATGCAGGGAAAGTTCTGCACTTTAAAGGCACGTTCTTCCTGCCTTTTCTCATTTTTTTTTTTCCATTTCGTGTGTTTTCTACTCAGCCATGCAGCCTTCACGTCAGGTCCAACCTGTGCCAGGGGACTGCAGCCAGCTCAAAGAAATTGAGACTCTTATTTCCAGCTTGAAATATCCCAGGATAATGTTTAGTTTCTGGATGACTTGCGTGAAAGTGCTGCTTTTTTTTTTTTTCTTGCCTTTTTTTTTTTTTTTTTTTTTTTTGCAGCTAATTTTAACTCCCTTTCGTTTCGCAGCAGCGGGTCAGTGGATTTCATAAGCACCAGCAAGAAGCAAAAGAGGTGTTTGCATCCCAAATAGCAGGAGAAGCTGAAGGGGCAGTGAGGTGTGGGGAAGGTGCTCGAGGTGGTGGTGCTGTGTCTATGGAAGGGCAGATCTGGGCTCGTTTCTCCAGCTGCTTTGTGAGGAAACGGGCTGTGGGAGCATCCAGAATTGTCCTTGCAGGGATTTTGGAGGCGATGGGTGAAGGTGGAGCTGGGTCTGGGACTTGGGGGAGACACTGGAGGGGTCGCTTTGGACTCGGATGTGTCCCAGCAAGGGGTGTGGGGATCCCACTGTGGATGCCAAGGCAGCAGAAGAATGGAGGTGGATCTGAATGTGAAGGGCCACCAGGATGATCAGAGGGATGGAGCAGCTCTGCCGGGAGGAGAGGCTGGAGAATTGGGATTGTTCAGCCTGGAGAAGGGAAGGCTTTGGGGTCACCTCATTGTGACCTCCCAGTGCCTGAAGGGAACCTGCAGGAAAGGGGGAGAGAGACTATTTCCAAGGGCCTGGAGTGCCAGGACAAGGGGGAATGGCTTCAAACTGCCAGAGGGCAGGGGTAGGTGGGATATTGGGAAGAAATTCCTCCCTGGGAGGGTGGGGAGGCCCTGGCACAGGTTGCCCAGAGAAGCTGTGGCTGCCCCAGCCCTGGAGGTGTTCAAGGCCAGGCTGGAGCAGCCTGGTCTGGTGGAGGGTGTCCCTGCCCATGGCTGGATGATCCTTAAGGCCCCTTCCAACCCAAACCATTCCAGGATTCCATGATAATGGCAAGGAAATCTTTGTCTTTAAAGCCTTCATCAGATGGCTCAGTCTGCCCTCAGCCCAGATTTTTGGAAAGGGAGCTGGTTGTTTTCTTGGAGGGCTGTTCTGGGGTGGTACAGCTGAACATGGAGCACAAAGGGGCAGCTGGACACACCTCTGCTCCCTCAGCACGAGGGAAGGGATTTTATTCCTAACCCTCTGTGATAAAGGTTATTCTTTATTTCAGCACAGCATAGAGCCAAACACTGACAGATATTTCTGTTTTCCAAGCGTGTTTACACACGTCCCTCTTCATTAGAGCATCTGAAGAAGCAGCAGAGCTACAAAGCCAATTGTTTCCCATTTCTCTTGCTAACATTGTGCTGCTGCAGCATGAAACCAGCACTCCCAGAGTGGGGCTCATTAAGTTTGGTGCTGCACAGAGACACAATAAATTGCAGCTCCTGTTGCAGAGCCTTGGAAAGGCTCAAAGTCAGGGGAGTCGTTCTTCCAGCCCAGACTCGAACTGTTGAAAAAGAACAGCAGCCACAGTCGCTCCGAAAAAATCTGTTTATCTGGTAAATACGTGGGTGGTTATTGGCAATTTTACCAATACTCATCTTCAGGTTAATTATCCTCATACATCTTGATCAGGTAGAGTTCTCAGCCCTGAGAAAATGGCATCTTGCTCCGTGTGCTTTGGGGAGGCGCTGGAAAACGCATTCCAGGAGGTGGTTGCCACCACTGCAGGAGGTTTTGCTGTGAAACTTTCCCCTGTCTCGCTGCAGAGACATCTTGACACGTGAAACCCTGTGCGAGGACGAATATGTGCAAAATGAGCTCGGGGAGTTGCTGGGAGAGGAGGAGAAATGTTCTTTGCCTGTCAGAGCTCGGTGCTTGAGTCTCCCTGGAGCGCAGAGCTCGAATCCACAGCCCCCCCCCCCACCTGTTTGTTTGGATCCCTTGTGGGAATTCAGGTTGCTTTGAGGGGGGGGATTTGGTGGGAGAGGCCCTGCTCGTGTTTTCCTCGCCGCTGTGGTTGAGGCAGGACACGGACACCTCCGTTCCCCGGGATCCTGTTGGGGCTGGCACTGGAATCCGGGAACACCACAGGGAGCAGAAGCAGTTCTTGGGTTTGGAGGAGTCGAGCCCTGGGCTGGGGTAGTCCAGGATCAAGGAGAGTTTATCCTTTGGCAGCGCTGGCTGCCCTTCTGTTTTTTGGGAAGCAGAGAGGCCCCGTTTTGCTCCGTGTAAACACCGACCTGCTCCATCTCTCCAGGAGAACAAAGCCCCGTCCCTGGGACCTGCAGCTCAACGCTGGGCTTGTTCAAACAGCGTCTGTGCAGGGCTGGGCTGGGCTGGGAGTGGGGTGTCCGTGTGGGGAGCTCATGGAGCGGGCTCTGCTCCAGCTCCACTCGCTCCTTCCACGCAGACTCATCCCCGGGCGCTCCGGAGGGGGGAATGTGCCTCCCCGGCTCTGGGAGCTGCTCTTTGTTTTCCTTCACCCCATCTATTTCCTTCAGCCCAGGCAGTTTCTTTTATTAAGTAGATTATATGTTTTGCTCAATAGGAGCTTTTCTTCCCCCAGAAAAAAAAGAATGCTGTTGGCATGAAAAATCCTTTTATCCGCTTCTTGTCTCCTCCTGCTTCGCCCCGGCTGCTCCCACAGCACCCAAGAGATACCTGGTGGGTGGCTCTGCTTCCCTGGCCATCTCCTGACCCCCACCCAGGGGCAAACAACCCTTCCTTTTGCCTGGCTTCTGGGTGTTACTGATGGGAGAAGAATTTTTCCCCCTGGTTTAATCGAGCTGGAGCTGCTGGGCCTGCCCGGGTTGCCCTGTAATTCTGCTCTTTGCCGGGAGCTTCCCGGTGCAGACAGGCCTTTCCTCCCTGGCACACACAGAAAATTGGAGAGTTCCTGCCTGCAGCCTGGAGGTTCTGGCCAGGAATATCTGGAAAGCCCCTTGAGGGTCGCTGATGAGAATTGTAAAGGAGCACAGACGTGTGTGCTGAAGGCTCCGTGCTCTTTGTTCCCGCTGCTCTCCCACCCTGGGGATTTTTGAGGTGCAAACAGTAGAATTGAAGTTAAAAAAGAGCAGTTTGTCTCAGAGGGGGAATGGGGTGAGAGGAGGCCGTGGGGCATCCCCCTCCTTAGCAGGAAATTTTGGCTTTCTGCACAGAACAGATAAGGATCTCAGTCTGTCTCTGCGCCGGGGCTCTGGTATCGTACCTTGCAGGTAAACTGATTTTTTGTTTTTATTTTTTAATCCTACAAATGCAACTGAGCAGACACAACCAGCTCCTCTGCTTTCCCTCTCAAAGGCATGCTGGGTTTCAGGCCAGATACTTCACTCAGACGTTTACAAAATCAGTTTTATTCGTGCATTGAAGTGCTTTGTTTACTTGGGAGCTTCTGGAAGCAAAACTGCCACAGTCTGAATCTTGGGATTGAGACCTCAGAAATGAGTCTAACAGGACCAAAGTTCAGTTTTGTTGTCTCTAAATCAAACTGAAAAGAACCTACATGGTGAGATGTGTGTGGGTTAAATGTTTTTAATTTGTACCTCGAGTTTTTGATAAGTAATAAGGGAGATGCTTTAAAACACCATTTCCTTTTAAGTAAGACATGAAGGCAGGAATGTGCCCTGGCTGCTCTTTGCCATCTCGGGTGTTCATAAAATCTCCTTTATCACCAACCTTTGTTCCCCCAAGTGTTTGTATTTTTCAGAATTGTCTTGTCTGTGCTCTGCTGGCCACAGAAAAACCCTGATCTCGGAGCTCTTTGAGGTGAACATCAGTAGAGGGGTCTTTTCCTTTCGTTATTAAGTTTCCTCATAGGATCTGCTGAATCCATGGATGCTCTCCACCCTTCCCAACATGGATCAGTCTGAAGGTTTTCCCTGTCCTTTTTCTGTCCCATGTCCCTTTTCCCTGGCCTGTGCTGAGCACATGGTAGTAAGTGACATTTGCTCATGAGGCTTTTTAAAGGTTTCTCACTCTGGGTTTTAATCAGATAGAGTTGTAGACTCATGGAATCTCTGGAGCTGGAGGGGACCCACAAGAACCACCCAGTCCAACCCTCAGCCCTGCCCAGGACACCCCAAAATCCCACCCTGTGCCCCAGAGGATCATCCAAACCCTCCTGGAGCTCTGGCAGCCTTGGGGCTGTGCCCACTGCCCTGGGCAGCCTGGGCAGTGCCAACCACCCTCAGAGATCCAACCTAACCCTCTCCTGACGCAGCTCCAGAGGTTCCCTCAGGTCCTGTCACTGGTCACAGGCTTTTTCAGTGCAATTTTGAATCTGTTGGTTCCAAACTCCCCAGCAGCCACATTTAGCTCGTCTGGAACAGTTCACAACAACAGCTGGAAAACGAGGAGCAGCGTCCAGGGAGAATTAAGTGAACAGTAATGCAATTAGGCTGATTGATTTACCCAGGACTCTGGGATGAGGGCTAATGGGTGTCTTCCTCCTGAAGGAACCCCGAGTAAATCAGGACCAGCTTGTTTTTTGTTAAGCTCGAGGTAACGTGGCCCCAAACGCGACAGAGCGTTGAGGCTGTCGCGTGGCTTTACCCCGAGAAGGTTCAGATCGGCCTGGGGAGAGTCAGCTGTGGCACTTGTATCTCTTCAAACCCTTCTGGAAACCCTCCCTACCCGAAAGCCCATTGCTGCAGCGGGTAAGGGCAGGTTTCGGGTTCCCTCGGGGGAGGCTGGGAGAGCTGATGAAAGCTGGAGAAAACCCGGCGTGCTGCTAAACAAGCCCCACCCTTCTTCTTGACATTGTTGGATTCCTCTTTGTTCCCAAGGATGGCAGGGCCTGGGGATTTGCTTACAGTTTTTCAGGCAGCTTGAGAAAAGCACAATGACAGCTGGGAGGCGGAAAAATGTGGGAATCTGCCTCGGAGTTTCTCCTTCGCTCTTTTACCCGAATAATCTTCGTGGGGAGCAGGCGAAAAGCCAGGAATTTATTTGACCCCAAGGTAGTGTCTCGGATCAGGAAAGCAGTTGCTAAATAAGTGGCTGATCTAGCTGGGCGTAGCACGCTTGGCTCGTGCAGTCGGCTGGGATGGGGCTGGGTTTGGCATCTGCCAGCTGCTCCTGGGCTCCGGGAGCTGGGGTGGTCGTCCCTCGCCAGCCTGGATCAGGCAGCTCCTCCTGGAGCCTGGGCAGCCAGGCCGGGGGGGATCACATCCATCAGTTGGACTAATTGTTGCGTTGGGTTTGAGCCTGACCAGAGGTTGGGCTGGGAGTGGATCTCGCCCGGTTTGCAGGGGTGACTCGGGGCACGGCCGGCGGTGGTTGCAACAGGGGCAGGCAAAGGGCTGCCTGGGCAGGCACCTCCTGGAAAGGCTCCTCTGCCCCCACGCTGGGTTTCGTGCTGAAGTTGGGTTCTTGCAGGCCTGAAATCCCTGACTTGTGCTGTTCTTCAGGCCGGTTCCTCCAGAGGCTGAGAACGGCCCCTCTGGAACGGGGAGTTTGGGGAAGGTTTCCTTCCTCTCGCCTGCGCTTTCGCTCTCGGTGGGGTTTAAGGGCTTGCTCTCGTTTCGTTTCCAGCTTTGACATGTCTGTGCTCCGACTGCAAACAAGCCAACTCCACCTGCGAGACGGACGGCGCCTGCATGGTCTCGGTCTTCAACCTGGACGGGGTCAAACACCACGTTCGGACCTGCATCCCCGAGGCCAAACTGATTCCTGCTGGGAAGCCCTTCTATTGTCTGAGTTCGGAGGATCTGCGGAACACTCACTGCTGCTACTCCGATTTCTGCAACAAAATTGATTTAATGGTTCCCAGCGGTGAGTGGAGAGCGGGATGAGTCGGGTGTTTGAAGTGGGGAGGAGAGGAGCCGTGGGTTTGGGATTGGGAATTTGCAGTTCTCGGCCCTGTTTTCGCCCGTTCCCTTTGGTCGATGCGTGAACTCGAGCGCTGGGTTTGTTTCCTCCTTCTGTAAAGTGGAAATAACAAACTACTTCAAATTAAAATGGGAACGTGCGTGTTCCCCGGGCACAGCCCGCCCTGAGCTGTGAGCTGGACCTGCCTTTATCAGCTGGAGCTGCTTCCTTTCCAGGACTCCAGATCTTTTCAGTGCTGAACACGAGTATGGGAACGTTGCAGCAGCTTCAGAGCAAAGTGTGGGGGGGGTGGAGGGTGCCTGGGCTCAGAATACACCAAGGGGAAGCAGCCCTGCCTCTGTGAGGGTGTGGGAAATGTCTGCTTCTCATTCCTGGGCCACAGAGGGCATGTGGGGCTTCCTCCTACCTCCTGCTCTCCGTTTTGGGCTGGTTTCTAGTGGGTGCTGTGGAGACTGCAGTGTCATTTTCCTCAGGAGCAGGGGGGAGGTCTTATTTGGGCTCAAAATGACAAAAATTTAATTGTTGCCTTCAGGTGCAGGTTCATTGGTTGTTGCAGGGCAAAGGGCAGAGAGGGAGCAATGAACCCTGACTGACTGGTTGGGTTCAAGTGGGAGGTGAACTGCAGACTGTTCTGGAAGATTCAGCCCAGGACAGGCTCCCATCCTCTAAAACAGTGAATGCCCATGATCCCTGATCCCAGGTCCATTTTCTTTTGGGGGTTCCAGCTGCATTTTGCCTGCCTGGTGCCTCGATCAGCCCCGTGTTGATGTCCCGGAACAGTGAGCTAAAATTGTCCAGGCTCTGAGAGAATAATTAAAACACAAGAAGAAAGCCCTCAACGGAGCGATAATTTTCTCAAAGCGCCTGTTCTTTTTCTCCCTTTCCTGCCAAGGGCACCTGAAGGACAACGAGCCCCCGTCGAGCTGGGGTCCCGTGGAGCTGGTGGCGGTGATCGCCGGGCCCGTGTTCCTCGTGTTCGTCGTCATGATCATCGTGGTCTTTGTGTTCCATCACCACCAGCGAGTCTACCACAACCGCCAGCGGCTCGACATGGAGGACCCCTCCTGTGAAATGTGCCTTTCCAAGGATAAGACCTTGCAAGATCTGGTCTACGATCTCTCCACCTCCGGCTCGGGCTCAGGTACTGTGGGAGGGCGGGAAGTGACCGAGGAGAACTTGGAGTTGGAGTTGTCTCATGGTTGCCACAGCTTTGCACAGGGGTGTTCGGGGTGTTTGGCATGAGTAACCTGGAGGGATGGTTAAATTCAGTCGTGTGGTCACCCTGTGTCAGTGTTGAGGTAAGAGCAATAGTTCAGCTCCTTGACTGCAAGAGGATACCTCAGGCAGCTGCATCTCTCCCCAGTTCAGCCTCGGAAGTGGATTTGGGTTGGAAACAGCAGTTAACTGCTAAGCTGTGCATTGCTGGCTTTCAGAGGAGGATGCAGCATGTCACCTGCATCAAAGCTGGCAGGAAAATGGGAGAGACCCAAGCAGGTGAACGTTTAACAGTGTGCAAACAGTGCATTTGCACAGCCCATTTTATCCCAAAGAATCCTTGAGTCTTCCCAGGTGGGTGATGTGCAGTGTTTGCTTCTGTAGCACTTAAAAGGAATCCCCAGATGGGATTCATGGAGTAGATGGGAAGTCATCATTTAGTTGTGGCTTCGAAGCAGGAAAGCAGTTGGGTTAAAGAAGGAAAGGAATTTTCCAGCAGGTGGAAACTGTAGGAAAACCCAGAGAGGCAGAGAATGTCAGAACCTGGTATTTGCCCAGGGAATAAACCTTCAGCAGCACATCTGCTGCTCTGTACAAAGTGTTTGGGATCTCTTCCATGCACGCTGTGGGCAGGTGAGCTCCGTGCTCTCCACAAGCGATGGCGGCGACGTTGGGACTCCTTTCTTGAGAGAAATTCAGGGGGTTTTCTGCTTTTTAGCAGAGTCTGATTTAGATGAGTTCCGTTCTTTGCATGTTGAGGCTGAAATTCCTTTGATGTGCCGTGGAGCAGGAGTTCCCTGACTGCTCCTCTGCTTCAAAGCCAAATGCAGATGCTGCCTGAGCAGTGGCACAGCCCACGCAGGAGCCACCACCATCCCCTGCTTTGGGCCTTGCTCAGGCTGCTGGTTGTTACCAGCCGTGGAGCCTGCTGGGTTCGAGGGTGTTCTCCAGCCTCTGGGTTTTCAGGAGGTCCTGCTGCTGCCGCAGGGGTTCATTCCTGCCCGTCCCCTGTGCCCAGGTTTGCCGCTGTTTGTCCAGCGCACCGTGGCTCGGACGATTGTCCTGCAGGAGATCATCGGCAAAGGCCGCTTCGGGGAGGTGTGGCGAGGCAGGTGGCGAGGGGGCGACGTGGCCGTGAAGATCTTCTCCTCCCGTGAGGAGCGTTCCTGGTTCAGGGAAGCTGAGATCTATCAAACTGTGATGCTGCGGCACGAGAACATCCTGGGGTTTATTGCTGCGGATAACAAAGGTAAGAGGTGCCTCGGGCCTGGGAGCGGAGGCTTCACCAGGGTGCAGCCTGGTCCAGTGCCTGATCCCCCTTTCCATGAAGAAATGTTCCCTAATATCCAATCGAAATGTCCTCTGGCACAGCTTGAGGCCATTTCCTCCTGTCCTGTGCCTTGTTCCCTGGGAGCAGAGCCCGATCCCCACCTGGCAACCCCTCCTGCCAGGAAGTTGTGGAGAGCAAGAAGGTCCCCCCCGAGCCTCTTTTTCTCCAGGCTGAGCCCTCCCAGCTCCCTCAGGATTCTCCAGATCTTTCTCCTTGTTCTCCAACCCCTTCCCCAGCTCCACTCCCATCTCTGGACACACTCCAGCCCCTCAGTGTCTCTTTTGGGAGTGAGGAGCCCAAAGCTGACCCCAGGATTGGAGGTGTGGCCTCACCAGTACCCAGCCCAAGGGGACAGTCACTGCCCTGGTCCTGCTGGCCACGCTCTTTCTGATAGGAGCCATTTCTGCTGCCTGACTTGCCCCAGGCTGACTGATCAGTGCAGCCTTATCCAGCAGCTCTGCTCTGTCCCAGAAGGGTGGGGGCTGCTCCATGATGTGTGGGGTCCCCGTGTGGGACCTGCCTGAGCTCCGTGTCCTTCCTGCTGCAGATAATGGGACATGGACTCAGCTGTGGCTCGTCTCCGACTACCACGAGCACGGGTCCCTCTTCGACTACCTGAACCGCTACACGGTGACCATCGAGGGCATGATCAAGCTCGCCCTGTCTGCTGCCAGCGGGCTGGCCCACCTGCACATGGAGATCGTGGGCACTCAGGGTAAGAGCCCAGTCGGGAATCCTCGAGGGGAGGCTAAAGCAGAACTGCTCGGGGGGGCTGATGTGCTGCCCAGCAAACCCTGCCTGAGCCTCTGAGCCAGCCCGGCTTCAGCTGGTCCTTACTGACCAGAAATAGAGCGGCTGCTTTGGCTGGGAAGTGGGTTATCCTGGCGCTCGCTCCCGGGAGTTATATCACCATTTCACATCCCATCCTAAAATTGGCACTGCCTGGGTGGGATGTGAGCGCAGGCAGCAGCACCAGCACAAACTCCTGACGTCGGTAGGGCCGCGCCTGTGCTGGGACATGGAGTTCACGTCCCTCTTGAGGCCTCTGGATGCCACTGCATCAGCGGCGCCTCCGAAACGCCACCGGAGCCTCTTCCCACCGCAGCCCTGCCCCGGTCCCTCATGGATCCAAACAGGAAAATGTGTTGCAACACCGGGTTTAACGCCCTGAAATCCGGCGCTGCCTCCGCGCCGGTTCGACAGACGGATTTCCCCAGTTTGACCCTCGCTGCTTTTTGTTTTGCTCTCTTAGGGAAACCTGGGATTGCTCACAGGGACCTGAAATCCAAGAACATCTTGGTGAAGAAGAACGGCACGTGCGCCATCGCTGACCTGGGCCTGGCTGTCCGGCACGACTCCGTCACCGACACGATTGATATCGCACCCAATCAGAGGGTCGGCACCAAACGGTAGGGAAACACAGCCAGAGGCATCAGAGTGAGACTGGAAATGCCTGAGCTGCTGGTTGAGCACTGGGGGAATTCTCTGTGTCCAGCGTTTCCCAGTGTCCCACAGGGACAGCTCTGTGCCCAGGTTGATGCCCAAGGGACGTCAGTACCTTCAGTCTGAGAGGGGTGGGCCAGCCACGTAAACCCAGCACCAGGGAGCTTATGTAGTACCTGGCAACAGGCTTGGCCAACCTGCTCTTGGGAGCCTGATGTGTTTTGGGGACACAAAAACCTCTTTTTACCTCTTTTCCCAGCCTGCTGTTGTTTGGGAGTTATTTTCTTCGCTCTGTTAGACCACAGGGCCCAGTTCTGTTCTGATGGGGGCTGTGCCATGCAGAGTTTGGTCTGCTGGGAAGTGCTGTGTGGGGAAAACAGAGATCAGTTACTATCTTCCAGAGAATTCCCTCTCTGAATGAACACGCTGTTCCTTTCTGCCTACAGATACATGGCCCCAGAAGTCTTGGATGAAACCATCAACATGAAGCATTTCGATTCCTTTAAATGTGCCGATATCTACGCCTTGGGCTTGGTCTACTGGGAGATTGCCCGAAGGTGCAACGCAGGAGGTAACACCTTGGTGTGCTGTGCCCTGGGCTCTGCTTCCTCCTGGGTCTCCCAGCCTTGGGCTTCCCTTTGCTGTTGGGGAGGTTTGAGGGAGAGCAGGGCTGCAGGAGGAATGTCCCTGTGTGTTGCCACTGAGGGAGGAGCAGAGGTGACCCACGGCTGCTGCTGAGCCTGGCCGGTGTGGGGACATGGGGGTGGATGCTCCCACTGGTGTCTGGTGTTCCTTTGGATGGATTTTAAGGACGTGGTGGTGCCCATTGGTGGGGGGATTTCCCCCAGATCAGTGTAGATGTCTTGGCACGTGCAGCTGCAGCACCGTCCCACGTGTGACAGAGCCCCACTGTCCCACGTGTGACAGCCCCACTGCCACTGAGATCTGGTGACCCTGGCTCCGTGCTGGGAGGTGCTGATCCCAGCCCGCTGACTCTGTTCCAGTTTGGGCAGCTGCATTTTATTTTCCCTGAATTTTTCCTGTAAACCCAAATCCCAGATTCTTCATTTCTGTTCTAAATAAGTGCAAAGTGTTGACGCATCTCAGCAGTGAGTCATGGAGCCCCAACCCGCCTGCCTTCAGCGAGCTCTGTGGCCGTGATTCCTTCTCCAGGAATTGCATTTCCCCCTCTCTGCCTTCCAGGTATCCATGAGGAGTATCAGCTTCCCTACTACGACCTTGTACCCTCTGATCCTTCCATCGAGGAGATGCGGAAGGTCGTGTGTGATCAGAAATTACGGCCCAACATCCCCAACTGGTGGCAGAGCTACGAGGTAAGGTCGGCTTCCATCCTCACCTCCCCTTCCTCTGCCATGAGGAAAGGCTGAGAGAACTGGGATTGTTCAGCCTGGCCAAGAGAAGGCTTTGGGGTGACCTAATTGTGGCCTCCCAGTACCTGAAGGGAGCCTGCAGGAAAGATGGGGAGAGACTATTTACAAAGGCCTGGAGTACCAGGACAGGGGGGAATGGCTTTACACTGTGGAGTTAGATGGGATATTGGGAAGGAGTTCCTCCCTGGGAGAGTGGGGAGGCCCTGGCACAGGTTGCCCAGAGAAGCTGTGGCTGCCCCAGCCCTGGAAGTGTCCCAGACCAGGTTGGACGGGGCTTGGAGCAACCTGGGCTGGTAGAAGGTGTCCCTGCCCATGGCAGGGGGTGGGACTGGATGATCTTTAAGGTCCCTCCCAACCCAAACCCTTCCATAATTATCCTGCAATGAGGTGAGTGAACAGTGAGCGCTGTAAGCTGAGCTCTGGTTTTGGGGGGTGTGGAGGGTGTCCCCGTGTCCAGGCAGAGCAGCAGCCTGGCAGAGCGACGTGGGGCCTGGGGGAGAGCAGAGCACTGATATCCCTCCTTGTTTCTTGCCCAGGCACTGCGGGTGATGGGCAAGATGATGCGGGAGTGCTGGTACGCCAACGGAGCCGCCCGGCTCACCGCCCTCCGCATCAAGAAAACCCTCTCCCAGCTCAGCGTCCAGGAAGATGTGAAAATTTAGGCTCTGAGCCTCAGCAGGAAGAAACTGCACAGGAGCTGCCGTGCTAGAGTAGACATGTGATGGAGGCCTACCTCGTGTTTCAGCCCAACCTACTGCTACAACCAGACAGCGGGACCTGCAGGCTGCGAGGCGGGGGGACGGAGCCTACGGAACCGCTCTCTTCCCTGCTTGGGTATGAAACAATCCGAAACCTTTTGTGATCACCTCCTGGGAGCGTGGAGACTTGAGAGGGGACTTCACCCGAGGGATCTCAGCCACGATCGTAACTCTTTGTTCCTTTAACGGGAATCCCTGTAAAGCTCAGCGCGCGCTGGGCACCCCTTGGCGGGGTCGGGGCCAGCCCGGGGTGCCCGGTGCCGGGAGTGGGAAGGGAAAGGGAAGGTTTTTCTTGCCGTTGCTCTGAGGATTTTTCCAGGGGACTGGCACGCCGGTGCAGAAAAAGCAAAACAAAATGGTGCTCCCTTTTCTGAGAGGCTGAGCCGGGACAGTTGATCAGCTTCACGAAACCGTTTCCCCCCCCCCCCTTCCTTTTTTTTCTTAAGCTTGAAGAAGTCCAGCCGAGCGCCCCGGCGGCCGTCGGGGCGCCGGCGTCTGCATGCGCGAGGCGCGCGTGTCCCTGTGCCTGGTCATCTCCTCCGTAGCCGTGCGGTGTCTGCCCGTGGGTGGCTCATCTCTGTCCGTGCTTCCTGTGCATGTGCAAATCTCGAGTGTCCCGTTTGTGAGCTGTTGCTGGTGCTCTCCTGTGCTGAGTTGTGAGCGTTTGTGGAGCTTGGACAGGCTGCTGCAGAGCGGATCCTCGGCTCCCCCGGCGGGGAACGTCCCGCCAGGTCACCTCACTGCCACCCTGTCCCTTTTTTAAGACAAAACAAAATAAGGAACTGAGAATCACTCCTGGAATCCAGGGGTGGTTTGTTTTTTTTTTTTTTTTTGTCTCGAGCCCCTGGGGTTTGTAATTCTTGGTAGGGGGGGAGCTGAGATGTGTCAGAGGTGGAGCAGGCGCTGCGCCCGGCCTGCAGGGAAAGCAGGGGACGGTTCTCCTGGGAACACAATTCCCAAGTCCACCATCCAGGCAGAATTCTGGGGGCTGATCCACGGGTGCTGGGGGTGCTCTGCACCTCCCAGAGGCGCCGGGCAGGATCTGACAGCGGGTGTGGGTTGGGAAATCAACGTCCATCTTTTTAATATAGGTGTATAAATATCTCCTGATGTGGAAGTGGCCATGTCTTAAGTGTGGGGTGGGGGGGCCTGCATGGATTTTTTTTCATTCAGCGTTGAATCCGGGTGAGGAAGAGGTGGGATGACTTGTCTGCAGTGAACATGGAAGTGAGGGCTGAGGCTGCCCTGCTGATTTTGGCAGTCATGGTGTGGGGGTCAGGTCAGTGTCTGCGGTAGAGAACTCTGAAGCCATAACTTTTAACTGGAGTGGTTTTGATTATTATTTTTTTTATTATTATTGTTGTTATTATTATTGTTATTATTATTATTATTATTTTCTGGGAGGGTCTGGATTTTAACTTTTTTGAATATTGTTAATTCTTTCTAAGAGAAGAAAAACAATCTCTAGTTATTACCTCTTGACCTGTTGGTTTGTAAAGAAATCACTGCAAAAAAAAAAAAAAAAGGAAAAAAACCAAATGCACAGCTCGATTTACACTGGAACTGTTTCTACTCTGACCTTGCTCCTGCTCTCTAAGGTGAGGTTTCATCTCTGCTCCGGCCGCCGGGGTTAAATCTTTATTTCAATCCCTCTGTTCTTGCTGTCTGTGTCCCTGTCCGTGTGTCCCCCCGACTCCCCCGTCTGTCTGTGACCTTGTGTAAAGTGAGGAGTGTGGGTTTTGCATCGTGTTAGGAGCCCTTTTGCATCCCCCCCGAGGAGTTGGGAGCGGCGCGGAGCTCCCGGAGCGGGATCGGGGTCCAGCTCCCCGTCCCATCCCAGTTTATCCCCGTCCCATCCCAGTTTATCCCCGTCCCATCCCAGTTTATCTCGGCTCCCAGTCCCAGCCAGAGGTTCCCACCAGTCTCCGTTTCCCCCGAAACCTGCGTTTAGAAGCCCAGGGGTTTGGCGGGCACTGCCCGGCGCTGAGGACTCTCCAGCTGCTGGCACAGGCCCCGGGGATGCCCTGGGAGCTGGGGAAGGACGGGCTGGGCAGGAAGGGACGTCCCCCACTGGTAGGTACTGCGGGCTCTCCCTCGGCTCTCCCATCCCCGTGCAGGCCGATTCCCAGGGACGCTCCGGAGGCTCCGGAACTTGCACTGACTCCCCCCCCCTCCAACTGTAGCCACACATGCACCTGCCTCAGCGCCAAACCAAACAGCGCCCGGCGCGCGGGGTCGGCCCGGGTCAGGCACGAGGGACGAGGGAAGGGCGACACCCCCGTGAGCAGCGTCCTAGGAAAGGAAGAGCCTTGTTTGGGAGACAGAGAGAGATGGGGAAAACCAAGCGGGATCCGCGGCGGGAACGCTGACCATGTAGCATTTACACAGCACTTTCATGCAAAGCCGTGCCCGGGGGGTGCCAGCGCTCGCCAGAGCTGGCTGGGAGCACATAGGAATCTCTGCCAGGCTCCGGGCCTTGCAGCAGCTCTGGGAAAAAGCAGCATTCCAGGCAGGCCCGAGGGGAGCCCAGTGCAGGACGAGGAGGGGGGTCCATCAGCGGTACGCGGCTGCAGGACAGAACTCTTGGTACTTCTCTGCCCCTTTGATTTGTTTGGTTTTGTACATTTTTTTCTTAGCAAAGGACTGTAAGAAAATAGCCACTTAGCCACTTTACCTCTTCAGTATGCAAATGTACATACGGTGTAAGATAGGAAATCTTTTGTTTAATATAAAACCAGGCTGTCGATTTCTGCTGTACATTATTAAAAGTTTGTTTTATTCACGTGAGGTGTCGGAGTCTCTCAGTTCACTGGGAGGGGTGGGAAGCACAGGGCAGATCTCAGGCCCCCAGAAAAAGGGGCTGGGAGGGGGCTTGTCCCCCACAGGTAAAATAATCTCTCTGGGAATCCCGGTCAAGACATTTTAATGTTGAATATTCCCATTTTTGGTGGAGATGCAGCTTCCAGCAGGTGGCAGGTGGGATTTCCAGCCCACACAGGGATGAGCAGCTGAACTCGGGGCTCCTTCTCTGGGGACAGGCACAGAGCAGGAGGGAGTATGGGGGGGGTACAGTGGGCATCCCCCCAAAGCATCCCTGGGGATGTGGTGGGTACAGTGGGCATCCCCCTGGAGCATCCCTGTATCTCCCACAGCTTCCAGAAAGGATAAATCCCAGAGCAAACCGCCCAAGGCCCTCTAAAATCCCGTTTGCTCCAAGGGCAACCGGTGCTGTGCAAAATGCCCCCACTAATTCTCCCTAATTAGAGCCTCCTGCAAACGAGCCTGTTGTGAGCGGATCAAGGGGAAAATCCGCCGGGGCCTGGGGTCCCCCCGGGCTCAGACATGGTGGGGAGGGGGAGTCGCCATCTGGGCTCGTCCCTCCTCATTCCCAGCTTTGTCTGCAGCTCCTGCTGTGGTCCCTGGGAAAATCCAGCCCCGTCCTGGAAGCAGAGGCAGCAGTGGGATGAGAATATGGGGAATTTTTAAGCAAAATTTGTCTTTACTCCTCTAGGAAATGGGATGGGGAAACAGTCTGGGATGGCTTCAGCCAGGGGGCCAAATCATGACCAGATTTCGGGAACAGAATAGCATGTTCCTCTCCATCCCCAGGGGGTTGGTGCCTCGGGACGGGGTGGTGGGCTCGATCCCATCCTTTCCCCAGCACTTCCAGCCCGGAGCAGCTCCGCTCCGGGAGAAAACTTTTGCCTCCTGGTAACCCCAGGCCAGGCTGTGGGCGGGAGGTTTGGGTGGAACGCCAGCGGGATTGTTACGATCTTCATTTTTTTTGGCGAATTTTAGACAAACATTTGGGCAAAGCTCTCAACTCCAGCTGGAAAATTCCCGCTGCCTCCCGGCGCGGCGCAGCGAGGGGCGGCCGGAGCGACGTGTCCGCACCAGACACCGCGGCTGCCTCCGGGAATTGTTCTTTCCTCCCGTGTCCCGGCTCAGCGCGGGCACGGATCGCGCAGGAACGGTTTAAATCCCCCCTCGGCCGCCCCCGCCGGGAGCCGGGCCCGGGGCTGTGGCCGCCCCTGTTGCAGCTCCTGCCTCCCGTTAAATCCCAAATGCGGCTTTGGCGGCGGGTGGTGGCCTGGGGGGTGCAGTGGCAGCTGTCGGGGGGACGGCAGAGCCTGGCAGAGCCTCTGCGCCCGGAAACCCACTGGTTTCTCCCCAGAATCATCCCCGATGTAACCCCTGGGGCCACTCCTTGGCACCCCACGGTGCCACCCGTGACACCCCCGGCAGTGTCCCACCCCGCACCTCCCGGTCACCACCTCCCCCTTCTCCCTGCTGTCCCACAGCAGCACCCCCAGACCCCCACGCTGAACCCCACGGGGTCCCCGAGCAGGACCCCACGCAGGACCCTCCCCCTGATCGCTCACGCTGGACCCCGCGCAGGACATCCCCCCTGCACCCCCACGCTGGACCCCAAGGGGATCCCTGCCCAGGACCCCAAGCTGGACCCCCGGGACCCCCCACACGGTCCCCACGCAGGACCCGGGGCGGGGGCGATGCCGGACACGGGGCCGGGCTTCCCGCGAAAGGCGCGGCTTACAGACAAATAGGCGCGGTTTAAGCCACAAAGGGGCGTGTTTTGCCCCGAAACGGGCGCGTCCCGCGCTGTCCCCGCCCGCCGGGCCCATATAGCGGCGCTCGGGGCGGCCCGGCCCGGCCATGACCCTGCGGCGGCGGCGGCGGCGGCTCCGGCCGAAGGACGATGCGGTGGCGGCGGCGGCGGCCCCGGAGAGCCCCGGCCCCGCCGAGCTGTACCGGGCGCTGGCGGCGGCCGGCGGGACCCTGCCCCGCGTGCGCAAGGTAGGAGATTTGGGGGGGTTGTGCACCGGGGCCGGTGCGGGGACCGGCGCCGCGAGCGGTAACCGGGGTGGGGGGAGAGCAGGGGGTGCGCGGTGTCCCCGCCCCGCGCGGTCGCTGCTCCGGCGGGGCTGCTCCGGCGACTTCTCTTGGGCTCTTGTCCTGCCTCGAGGTCCCCCCCGTCCTGCCCCCGGGAGCCCCCAAAGCTTCGCTCCGTGTCCCCGTCCCGCCCCGGTGTCCCGGTCCTGGCCCGGTGACCTCCCCCAGCCTCTTGCTCTGCCCCAGCATCTCCTCACGCCGGACCCGTCCTGCTCCAGCATCTTCCCGGTGTTCCCATCCCGCTCCAGTGTTGTCCCCCAGGGCGTCACATCCTGTCCCGGATCCTCCCCACGTCCTGCCCCGGTATTGTCCCTGTGCCCCCACCCCAGTGTCCTCCCCAAGCCCCACGTCCTGTCCAGGTCCCTCCCCACGTTATTCTACGGGATCTTCCCTGTTCCACAGCGGCCCCCCAAGCCCCTCGTCCTGTCCTGCTCTCTCCCCATGTCCTGCCTTGTAGTTTTTGGGGCACAGGGCCAGGCTCCCACCCTGGTGTACGCGGCCCTGGCACCGGGGCAGGCGTGTCCCCACAGCCCCCCTGGGCTCTGCTTCAGGGGGAGGGCAGGGGGGGACAGGGCACAGGGTACCCCGTCTGCTTTGGAGAGGATGGGGGGGACAGGGCACAGGGTACCTCGGGTCTGCTTTGGAGAGGATGGGGGGGACAGGGCACAGGGTACCCCATGTCTGCTTTGGTGGGGCACGGGGCCCTCTGCCCCCACGCCCCTGGAAAAGCCTCTTGCGGTGGCGCTGGGACTGTCACCGCCCCGACGCTCCCCCCCGGCCCCGCGGCGCTTCCTGAGCCTTGTGGGGAAGCGAGAGCGGAGCCGACATCCGGAGCAGAAGTGGCCTCGCGGCCGCGCTGGCACAGCCCGGGTCACGCGCGGTGTCCCGGCTCCCCCTCACCGGCCAAGGCCACCACCGGAGACGTCCCCAGGGGGTCTGGGACATCCCACGTCACCTTCCCGTCACTGCCGTGACGTGGGGCCCGGAGTGACGGGCGGCAACTTTCCCTGTGACAAAAGCACCCGATCCGGGTGGTTTTGCACTTAAAACGCCCTCGGATGCGGTCGGGGACGGCCCCGCCACCGTCCGGTGGCACCTGCGGGGCTGGTGGCACCCACGTGGCACAGCGGGGACGGAGCCGGTGCCACCAAGACGGGCCACGTGCCACTCCGGAGGCGCAGCTCGCGGTGGCACCGCCCGCACCGGGCTGCTGGAGCCCCGCGGCCTCGGAGGGGCATCTGGGGACAGCCCTGTCACCTCCTGCCCCGCGGCGAGGGTCCTGCCGTGCCCGGCCGGTCCCTCCGCCCGCCCACGCCTCCGCACCCGCCACAACAGGGGCATTGTCCGGGCCGGGAGGGGGGGGGGAATTTTGCATGAAAAAACCCGACTTTGTGACCACAAAAGGGCCCCTCTGTGCCGGGGGGCCCCCCCCGAGCGCGGCGTGGGGTGGGTGCGGCGCGGTTGACGTCAAAGCGTGGGGGGAGCACGGGGCAGCTCTGAGGGTGCCTTTGAGCGCCGATCAAAGCCCCGTTATGCCCACCCAGCCGGGGGGGCCGCGGGGCTGGGGGGGCTCCCGGGTGCTGGTTCGGTGCCGGCTTGGCACGGTGTTCCCCAGGGGTTTGGTGCTGCCCTGGTGGGACGCCCCGTTTCGGCTGTCCCTGGAGGGGGTGGCAGGGGGGGATGTCCCCTGGGGTGTCCCCCAGTGATGGCTCTTCCTCTGCTGCAGGACGCAGGGTTCAGGTGGGCGACCCCCAGCCAGTCCCCGGAGGAGCACAGGTAGGGACACAGGGGGACACAGGGGTGGGGCTGGAGTCCCTGGGACACTGTTCCAGGAAGAACTGGAAATGGGGGAGATTTTGTGGGGGAACCTGAGAGCAGTGATGGGGTCACACTCCCTGGAGGGCCCTGACATCCCCAAACCCTGTGGGGACCCTGCCTGGTGCTGGACAGGCTGCAGGGCTCTGGCCAAGGCCGACTGGGGGGATCCCATCCTGCGGGAGGGTCCCATCCTGGGGAGGGGGGTCCTGTCCTTGGTGGTCCCCAAAGCAGCGTTTTGAGAAGGGCCCAAGGTCCGTGCAGGTGGGCTGGGGGGTGCCAGGGTCTCTGCCTTGTCCCTGATCCCCGTGTCCCCCAGGAGGGTGGTGACGCTGGAGAAGAAGGCAGAGGAGTCTTTCGGCTTCGAGATCCAGGTGGGTGCTGAGCTGAGCCGAGCTGAGCCGAGCCGAGCTGAGCTGAGCCGAGCTGTGCCGTGCTCAGCCGTGCCATGCCCTGCTCCCCACCCTGCCAGCCCGCACCTTGCTTTGCATCGAGGGTATTTTTAAGTTGTCTCTGAGCCAGGGGTTATTTTTAGCAGTGACAGAGCCGCCGTGTTACCGAACCTCCCCCGGCCGTGCCCGCGGGGGCAGCCCGGGGGGGCCCCACTGGGGCGCAGCCATCGGGGCAAGACCCCCCTCCCCGGGGCCGGGGGGCTGCCCCTCATCACCCACCGGCAATTAAACAATTAAACACCGCAATCGCTGCCCCGTGGCTGCTGCTGGGGGGCCCTGGGGCTCGGGGGCACTTTGGAGGTTGGGGGTCCCCGTGCCCCTCACCAGCCCCCCCCCCCCGTTCCAGACCTACGGGCTGCACCACCAGGACAGGAACAGCGTGGAGATGTTCACCTTCGTGTGCCGCGTGCACGGCGGGAGCCCGGCCGAGGCCGCGGGGCTCAAGGCTGGTGAGCACACCCCGGGGGGCTCGGGGGGGGACCCCGGCAGTGGGGACCTGCTGCCCTGAGCTCACCCCCTCGCCTCCCCCCCCCCTTCCTCCAGGGGACACGATCACGGGGGTGAACGGGCTGAACGTGGAGGGCGTCCGGCACCGGGAGATCGTGGAGATCATCAAGAGCTCAGGCAACGTGCTCCGGTGAGCTGGGGGGGCTCAGGGGGGGTCCAGGGGGCCCCAGCCCTCCCCCCCGCTGACGGCTGCTGCCCCACAGGCTCGACACGCTCTATGGGACGTCCATCCGGAGGGCGGAGCTGGAAGCCCGGCTGCAGTACCTGAAGGTGAGAGGGGGGCCCTGAGGGAGTCAGGGGGGTTTGGGGATCCCCCCAGCAGGGTCCTCACCCCCGACACCCTTCCCACAGCAAACACTCTATGAGAAGTGGGGGGAGTATCGCTCGCTGATGGTGCAGGAGCAGCGGCTGGTGCGGGGTGAGTGGGGGCCGGGGGGCTGGGGGGGGGGGCTTTGGGGCACCCCCTGGCCCCCCTGACCCCTCTCCGTGTCCCCCATCAGGTGTGGTGGCCAAGGATCCCAGTATCTACGACACGCTGGAGTCCATCCGCTGGTGCCTGCAGGGGGAGGGGGGGCTGCCGGGGGGCTCCTCCCGCGCCAGCGGCAGCGACGACTCCCTGTACCAGACCTGCGTCTTCGCCTCCGCCGACTCGCTGGATGGGGACAAGGACAAGGATGGGGACAAGGACAAGGAGGGGGACAGTGGGGGTCCCGCGCCCCCCCCGCCGCGCCCCCGGCCCGCCCTGGCCCGCAGCGCCAGCCTCAAGTGTGCCGGGGGTGTGGGGGCCGCGGGGCGACTTTGGGCCCGGGCCGGGGACCCCGGGGAGGGGGCGGCCGCCCCCCGCAAGGGCCGACACAGCAGCTTCCGCCGCCGGCTGCTCAAGTTCATCCCGGGACTGAACCGGGCACTGGAGGAGGAGGAGAGTCACCTCTAGCCGGGGGTCCCCACCCCCCCAGGACTATTTATTTATTTATTCCAAGGGGATTCATCCCCCCATCCCCGGGGGAAGGAGGTTTGGGTTGGCCCCAGGGGTCCCGGTTTGGCCCCCCCCAGGCCGGGGGGGTCCTGACACCGAGGGACGGACGTGACACCGAGGAACGGACGTGAGGACCCTCCCGAAACGGCTCACGGAGCCGTTGCTGCTCTCAGGAATCGGTGCCCTCCTCCCTGTGGGCACTGGGGGGCCCTGCGTCCCCCAGGTTTGGGGGGCTGGGGGGGCCCCGCCCCCCGCCCCCCCGGGGCTGTTGTACCGCGCCAGCGCTCGCCAATACAGAGACGTTTTGCAGCGACGTGTGGCTGTGACTGGGGGGGGACAGAGCCCCGTGGGGAGCGGGGTGGGCTGGCTGGGGGGGCTGTGTCCCACAGGGGAGCCCACCAGGCTGCAGCCCCCCCTCAGTCCCCGCGCTGCCCCCTTTGCCCTCCCCGCTGGGCTCCGGGTGGGGCGGCCTTGGGGTGACCGACTGATGTCACCTTGGACCTGCGTGGGTTCCCAAGGACCCCCCGTGTCCCCCCGCCCGCCGCAGCCCCCGGTGCCGTGGGCCACGTCCCGGCTCTGCGGGGCCCCGGCCAGGCCCTTCCTGCCCCGTTTCCTCCGGCAGCCGGCGGGAAGCGGGTCCCACCCCGAGCCCTTCCGCCCGCGGGGAATGGGGTGCCCACGCGGGACGGGCACTGGAGTGGACTCCCACTGGAGTGGGATTGGGGTGTCCCCCAATCCCACTGAAGCAGCATCCAGAGGAACTGGGGGACGCAGAGACCCTCCGGGTGCTGCAGCAGCGGCCGTGAGTGCGCGGGGACTCCCTCGCCCAGCGATTCCTCCGCGCGGGGATTCCCGAGCTCTCCAGGGAGCCCCCAGCCCGCCGTGCCTCAAATTCCCCTCTGGCTGGGTCATCGCGTGTGTGGGGAGCCCCGGGGAGCCCCAGTTCCGAGCTCCTGGAGCGTCCCATGGCTTGGGCCACCCCCCCAGGATCCCAGGGGGATGTGCTGCTGGAAATCTGGGGGGCGAGACCCCCAAGGCTGCAGGTGCCCGTGGGTGCCGTGTGTGCACACGTGTGTGCCGTGGAGTGGGGGGCCCGGCTGGCTCCCCGCCACTCTCCTGCCTTGTCCCTGTTCCAGGACGGCTCCGCGCTTGGACATTTATGGTCTGGCTCCGGCAGCCCCGGCTCACGTTCTCCCACACACTGCCAGGGTCGGAGCACCCCGTTCCTGTCACGGCCATCACGGGACCCCCCGTCGCAGCTGCCACCCCACGCCGAGCTTTTTATAGCCCGGACCTGTGGCTGCGTGTGCCCGGGAATGGGCAGGTGGCAGTGGGACACCAGGGTCACGCGTGGCACCGGCTGAGCCGGGCAGGGCCGGGGGGCTGAGGCTGCGGGGTACGGACCGGGAACGCCCCGGAGCAGCCTGTCATTACCGACAAATATAGGCCCGGGGCAGGGAGCCAGCGCCGGCCGTGGGCACCCGGCAATCACTGCCCGGCCGTGGGCGCCCCGCGAGCCCCGACCCCCACCCTGGGGCTCGGAGAGGGCTGGCTGGTGGCCACCGTGTCCCTGTGTCCGCACCTGGGTGTCGGGATGGAGCCGGCATCCCAGGGCCGGTGCGAGCCGGGGTCCTCCCCTGCAGCTCGGTGGCCTTGCCGGGGTGGCTTGGCTCGGGTTTCCTTCCCCGAAGCCATCCCGGTCCCCGCGGCCTCTCCCGGGGTACAGCTAATCCCGGGTGCGGGGGCTGCCGGTGTCACCCTCCTGCCTCCGGTAACGCCGCTGCTGAGCGAGGGGTGCGGGGGGCTGCAGCCACCACGCTCCGTGCCCCCGGTGGCTTTGGGACCCCCGTCGGCTCCGGGACCGCCGACAGCTCGGTGTCCCGCGGCCTGACCCCGTCCCGGGGGGCTCCTGTCCGTACCCCCGGGTTGGCACCGGATGCAGTCCCGGTACCGTCTGTGCGGGGCGCGGGGACCCCGGCGGGTCCCGCCGGGCCCGGGGGATCCCCGCGGGGGAGGCCCCTCTGGTGCCGCGGGATCCCCGAGGCGTCAGCGGGCAGGTGTGACGTCAGCGGGCAGGTGTGATGTCACGGAGCCCCGTCGGGGGCGGGCGACAGCGGGAACCGGGGCCGGAACGAGGTAACGGGCAGCGAGAGGAGGCAGCGACGGCGCCCGGCCCCGAGCAGCCACCTCCGGTACCCCCGTGCGCCCCCCGGGCCCCTCCGGTGCCGGGCTCTCCCCCGCGGGGCCGGGGGGTCCTCTGAAGCTGGGGAGGGTCCCGGTACCGGTGACCCCGGCAGCGCCGTCCCGACCCCGGGGGATGGAGCGATGCCCGGCACGGTGGGACCGTGCCAGGGGCTCTGCCGCTGCGGGAGGCACTAACGGGGGGCACTAACGGGGCTGCCAACCCCGCGTTCTGCCGACCCCGCGTTCTGGCGACCCCTAACTAACGGGATACCGGAGGGTTCGGGAAGTGGACTGGTACCGGAGGGTATCGGGGTGGTACCGGAGGGTACCGCGGGATGTGCTGGGGCGGTACCGAAGGGTACCGGGGTGGTACCTGGATGGTACCGGAGGGTTCGGGGGGTACCGGCGTGGTACCAGAGGGTACCAGGCGGGGAGATACCGGGATGCTACCGGGGGGTACTGGGTCCCTTCCACCCACCCCTCGCCCTCCCGCGGGCCCGGCCCGGCCCCGCACGGGCTGAGCTCATCTTTCCAGCCCGCGGGCGCTGTTCCCGGCGCCGGCGCCCGCCAGCAGCCGCCGCTCTTTCCATCGCCCCGGCCAGGGGCTCCCCGCGGGGCCGGGGCGAGGGCGGGACCCCGCGTCACCCACCCCGCACCCGGGCACGGAGCGGGAGGAGAGCGGGGGTACCGGCGCTGCTGAGCACCGGAGATACCGGCTCAGATGGGCACTGGGCATAACGGCACCGGGGGTACAGGAGAGCACCGGGGAGAACGGCACCGGGGGGCACCGGGGAGAACGGCACCGGAGATACTGGCACCGAAGGGGCACAGGGGATGGGGGCACCGGGGGACCAGCAACGAGGGGACACCGGAAATACCGGCACCGAGGGGGCACCGGCGATGGAAACACCGGGGGATGCCAGCCCCGGGGATACCGAAGGGGCACCGGCACTGGGGGCACCGGGGGCACCGGGGATACCCCCGACACCGGGGCCTCCCTCCCCCCACCGGCGGCCTCGGGAGCCCCGGAGGGGGGATGTGGAGGGGGGCGAGGGGCGCCCGCGCTATTTTTAGCCGGGGCCGCGGGGGTATTTTTAGCCGGGGCCGCGGGTGCGTCAATGGAACCCCGCGTGCGTCACGGCCGCGCCCCCGCCGGGGCCGCCCCCCCCGTGCGTCACCGGCCCCGCACCGCCCCGCGCGTCACCGAGCGCTTAAGAGAAAGTAGTGGCGGGGTCGGAGCCCGGCGGAGCCCGCGGAGCGGCGGCGGCAGGAGCGGGGACCGGAGCGCCGCCGCGCCGGCACCCGGGTACGGGCGGCACCGGGATGCGGGCACCGGGCGTGGGGCACCGTGGGCGGGGGGGTCCCGCGGGCAGCGGGGGCGGGGGTGAGCGCATCGAGAGGTGCAGGGGGTCGGGTGTCCCGGTGGCATCGGGGGGATCCGGGTCGGGCATCCCCGTGGCACCGGGGGCTCGGGGCCTGGGACGTCCTACAAAGTGCGTGGGGTCGAGTAGCACCGGGGGGAACCGGGGCTCGTGTGTCCGAAGGACACGGTGGAAGGAGCTCTCGGTGCCACCGGGGAGTGTCGGGGATCCCGGTGGAAGGGACCGGGCGGTGAGCAACGCGTGGGACCGGCCCTCGGGGGTATCCGGTGGCACCGGGGGGGATCCGAGTCGGGCATCCCGCGTGGCACCGGGAGAACTGGAGCGGGAGTCCCGGCGGCACCGGGAGGAGCCAGGGGGACGCGCACCCGACGGGAGCCGGCAGAGCGAGGGGTCCCTGTCCTGGGGGTCCGGGGAAGAGCCTGACATCGCTCCTTTGTGAGGAGCTGCACAGGACCGGGAGGCACTTCTTGGACTATGGGGGACCGGGCTGGATCCCCCATCCCGGCACCCAAAACAGGGACCAGCTGCAGCCAGGAGACCCGCGGCTCTGAGGGCTGTGGGGGGCAGAGTCACCCCATACCGGGCATCACCTTGGGATCCCCGAGCAGAGTGGGCAGGACCGGGCAGAAGGAGCGTGCGGGCAGCACCGGGGACCTGACAGTGCAAGCAGGGATGTGCAGGCAGCATCAGGACCTGGCAGTGCGGGCAGGGGTGTTCAGGCCAGCCCCCTGCAGGCAAACCCCCCGCTGCCCACGCAGACCTGGCAGCGGCCGCTCCGGGCAGCAGGTGCCGGCAGGGCTGTGGGCAGCGTTACCCGCCCCCAGGGCCACCGGCTGCTCTCGCCCGCCTGTGGCCCGGGGCTCGGTGCCAGCGGCTGCCACCCGCCCGTGCAGGCAGCAGCCTCCGGACTGGGCACGGGCAGCTGCCTGCACTCCCAAATGAGGAATCTGCAATTAGTGCCCGGCCGTGGGCAGCGCGGGGGCTGCTGCAGGAATCTGTGCCCTGTCCCCGGGGAGGTCATGGCAGGAGGGACCCCAAACGCCACCGGCGCGTGGGAAAGGGCAAAAGTGTTTGAATAACCAGGGCCACGGGAAGGGTCGGGGCTTTGCATCTGTCAGGATTTGCAGACAGGCAAGGGAATGAGCCAGTGTCCCCCGGGGTTGTGTCCCCAGCGTGGCCTCAGGTCCCCTCATCCGCATTCAGGGGCAGGAGGTGGCCGGGGGTGTCACGGTCCCCACTGAACTCACCCTCCGAGCCCAGCTGGACAGGCACAAACCCCGCTGGGACACTGGGAGTGGGGCCGGTGCCACCCCGTGGGTGCCGGGGCTGGATGCACGCTGGGTATTTTTAAACCTGGCTCCCGGCGGGTATCGGCTTTCTGGGCACCGGCGAGAGCTGCCCAGATTTGGCCGGGGGAAGCCGGGGGCCGGCGGAGCTCTGGCAGCAGAGCCGTGCCGGGGCTGCGGCCGGGGGCCAGCGCAGGGTGACCTTTAAAGGTCTGTGAGATGAATTACATTATCGTCTTGCCATCGGGGTCACTCCTGGCTTGGCTTTCAGCTGGACACAGGACTCGGGTTGTCTCACATGGTGCCGGGTCCATGTGCAGCGCCGGGGGCTGTGGGGACACACAGGGTGGGCTCCTCTCCCCCCGCCCCTGAGAGTCTGCCCGCACTGCTGTTACCACGAGGCCCCAGAATGGCTTATGAGGGCAGTGGGATCCTTGAAATCTGGTTCAGCCTCAGC